CACCATGTGGTTGAAAGTTGAACGTTACACATCTAAGCTATGTGTATGTCCAATATGTAGGGATTTATTTACTTGAACTTGATTTATTATTATTTTTAAAGAAAGAACTAAACTAAACATATTATGCATTCATCATCTTTATTTACATGTTTTTATACTAATCCGACGCTATAACATATGCCTAGAGTAACACTACTTTTAATTTACAATTTAAGTGTTACTACTTTTAATTTATAATATAGTAATTAATAATAAGATCACATGGCCACTGATATAAACATTGACATGATGTCCTTGTATTCATATTATTTTATTTATTTTGTATAAAATAAGTATGTGTGCAAATATATATATATATCGATGGTATTTCAACATGCAGGTCACACACAAAACACAACACCTCTGTATACCTACAATCACATATACACATGTATATAATGCGCATGCATACTCGAAGAAAAAACACCGATAATGTTAATACATTTTAGACTTTTATTTAAATTAAAAACTAGCATGCCTTCATCTTAGGTACAAAATGTCATGCTTAACTGGTTCGGGTGATGAGTATGGCTATCAGATTCGATATACGTATAATGTAAAGTAAAAAAAAAATAAAATAAAAAAAAAAAAATAAAAAATAAAAAACATGTATAATGAGGTATAAAACAGGATTGTTGAAAATACCTTTATAGTAGACAGATGTGGCCAAACAATAAATTATATCAAATATACAAGACTAGTTATTATTGTCACCATCATTTGAACGTTGACTTTTAGTAGGTCATCGCTATCGAATGTAATGTATGAGGCTTGTTAAGTTCAACATAATAAAACGTATTGTAATTATTATGCCATCGACGGGTTAACTTCGGTTGTAACATAGCTTTAGGGTTGTATATGAGCGTACAAAAACGTAAAGCGAATATTGTGGATTTACTCATCTGTACGCCATTTGATGAATTCATCGTCTTTGATACGATACCCTGGTTGGGATTGCACGTAGGCCTATATACGTAATATCTATTTAATTTTCTTTCCCCATTTCCTTAAATCATTATGTATAAGCAATTAAAATGCAAAGGTAAAACCAGGGTACAAAGGCTCTGCATGCACCTGGAATGCTAAAAATAACAAAGTCGTGTTAAAAGACGCGTAATCCAGCACTTAAGTTCAGCTACCGTAGTTTTGCACAGCAGCGTCATTGTATTAGCACCATAGTTTTGTACTGGACCGGTACTCTGCCGTAGATTACGGTATTCAGGGGCGCCGCCAGGGGTCCACACTTGAACGTTGGGATTAGTGTTGGCATGCAAGGGGGAGGGGCTAGGGTGTTATAGCCCTCTGTAGGGGAAACCTGGCCCCCCGCGCGGACGGGGAATATTGAATTTTTGGAGAAAATTTTTTGATTAAAAACAATATAATTTGGATTTAATAAAGGATAGGCCTAATTTGATAAAAAAAAAACCACATGCAAATTAAATCTGTCAAACACCAAAATACTCGCAAATTAGATGCCCTGTTAGGAGTATTAATCCCTGTCAAGGTCACTAACCCACTGTCGGGCGTACCAGTCCCCTGTCAGGGAAGCCAACCCCCCACCCACGTCGGTGGGTACGAATCCCACTGTCGGGGGTACTAACCCCCTGTCTAAGGTACCAGCCCCCTGTCGGGGAAGAACTCACACCACCACTGCAACCCATAGCACTGCTCGTACTAAACAGTTTTTAATCCCTAAAATTTGACATGCTTGAATTGTACTTTTCGGCGCTGAAGATTTGATTTTTCCCGACGACCTTGCTGGAAATTCCCCGACAGGGTCCAAGCGGGGCTCCCCGACGGGGTCTACTTTTCCCCCTCTTCTCCCTGCTAGTGCCGCCTCTGGTACGTTTGTTTTCACTGCACCGTGCACTGCATTTAGAATATGCCAGAATATGGTTGCATATGAATCACCTATAAATATGTGCTTCGGGAGACAATGACTACTGACTTCACAGTAGCGCTAGACAAGAAACCTTGTCATAATTGGCACAGGCAGTAATAATGGTGACGACGTAAGTAATGGAGATGATGATGTTGATGTGAATGATGATGATGATGGAGATAATATTGAAAAACAGTTGCATGTTGTGATTGTAATGACAAATTATGCATCCGCATTTATTATTAAGATTGTCCACTGTAGCCATGCGGAGGTAAACGTAGTGAATCGGTAAAGTATCATGCATGGATTGTCTAATTCAACAATCCAATCTACATACTATTAGAAACTTCAATTCTTGTATAAATTTAATTTCGTAATTTGTGAAAACGACAAGAGAAGGGCATGTGCTAATATACTATCAGTTTAGACATCGATCTGGTTTGTTTTTTGAATGCTTGTTCGTATTGATAGCTTGTCGACTGAATATAATTTATAGGAGTAATAGTACAATAACAATTTTGGATGTAATTTTTTTTTTATTAATGAGCATTTTGCAGTAACTTTGGTTGTTGATCTTTAACTTTTATTTTTTCTCTCTTGATGTACATTTTTGATGTTGACCACCTTAAGTGCAATTTAAATTTTATATTTTTGATTTTGACCTTATTTTAGTCCTATTTGAATCATGTTAATTTTTTAATGTACATTTTTTATGCTTCCCCCCCCCCCGAATATTGGTGTTTGTCTTGTTTTTTGAATGTTTTTATTTTTTCTTTTTCGATTGCAATAAAGTTAAATTGAATTTGAATTTTGAATTTACAGTAAGTTTACTTTTGAGTTATTCTTTACAAATATATATCGGTTAATCATAAAAATAAACATAATTGACATAGCTAAACATACATTACTCTTACGGTAGGCCTATCAGCCATAGCACGTTATTTCTGATCTGCTTTTCAAACCTCCCAAATCGAAAAAAGTGTAGAATATGTTCGGAATATAAAATTCGTTATATTCTGTATTGAAAAGTTAATCATATCTACATTTTAACCATTGTAATCTATTAGAAACCCCTAAAACGCCTTCCAATACCAAAGCTGCTATCCAACTAGCCCTCCCCTCAAAATGGCTATCCTCCCCCACCCCTAAAAAAAAATGGCAATTCTTGGTACAGTTCTACATCGTTGGTTGTATAAAAGGTACCATACTATACATCGTGTATACCGTAGTGTTTCTTGCTTATAATTCAAAGTTATTTGTTATTTCTGAGTGTTAAAGGGCTACAGCACATATTTTATGTAGCAGCGTTTCTTTATCCGTGGTCAGAGGACTTTTGGGTAATTGGTGTTACAAGCATGTAATGTTTGTGCTATTATAGAACTCGTACGATATTATAAGAGTACGTTAGAGCGATGCACCGCTAATCTCTTCAGGAATGAGCTCATTTTAAGTAGGATTGATAAGTACTGTAATTAGTTTCTCCATGACATGCAGCCATAACGTCCCTGCCGACTACTTCAACTACTGATGACATTTGGTACAACTATATCGTGCTTACCCTACCATCATCATTATTATTATTATTCTTATTCTTATTATTATTATTCTTATTCTTATTATTATTATTATTATTATTATTATTATTATTATTATTATTATTATTATTATTATTATTATTATTATTATTATTATTATTATTATTATTATTATTATTATTATTATTATTATCATCATCATTATTATTATTATTATTATTACTATTATTATTATTACTATTATTATTGTCCCCATCATCATCATCATCATCATCATCATCACCACCATCATCATCATCATCATTATCATCATCATCATCATTATTATTATTATTGTTATTATTATTATTATTATTATTATTATCGTATTATCACCATCATCATTATTATGATTAACATTATTATTATCATCATTATTTTTATTGGTATTGGTATTATTTATTATTAGTAATATTATTATATAGGTGTAATTTTGCCCTACCTTACGTGGATATTAATAATAATAATAATATATAATTAGTAATATTATTATCATCATTAATATAGTTATCATTCTTTTCATTATTATTATTATTGTTTGCATAGACAACAGTCAATCCCAGTTGATGCATTCTTTTTCACATTCACACCTCATTACCGTTATATATATATACAAGACATATACAAGACATAATTACGGTACCTCAATTTAACGCTGTATAATATTATTGTACTATGTAAAATTGAGGGTTCGATTATCATCAGTTTCTCAGTGAGGTGTTATTTCGATAAATGTTTTGGCCAATTCGTGCAATCGAATGTTCATTATCTTGAAATGTAATACATTTCAACCAAACTGCGACACATAATATATCTTCTCATTCCATTGCACTTAAACGTTTAGTTGATAAAATATCATAGACCTAGGGCTTCTGATACAAAGGGTAAGATATAATCTAATGATAACAAGTGCTATGATTAATTCATCAATATTTATAACAATTGAAATAGTGTCAATCAGAGGTTGAATTGGTGACTGAACTCTGTTTACTTTTCAGGGCTCGTGGTTGTGATGCGCGATACTTACATTTTATATTTAATATTCAACATGATACACCAACCAAACTAATTGGTGCGGGTAATTTTCCCTTCTTTTAGACCAATAATTACCTTAAACGTCAATTATATAAGCCTAATGTAAGTAAGGTATTAAGGCAACATAATTAATCGGACAACGAATGGAGTACAATATTATGTGTGCGTTTTAGTGACGGAAATATTGACCGTTGTGTCGTGTGTAAATCCACCCAGGCCTATAAGTAAACATATGTTGTTTGTTGTAGATTGCATTGAACAATAACAAAATGTACTGTGGATCTTCTCAACTCAGATATGAACGATGATAGAATAGCCGTTGTGCTATAAACATACACACTAACGTAGGTCTACAGTAAGGTAAGGGCATTTAATTAATGTCAGATTATTAGAGCTTGCATTTACACTATAAAAGTAAGCAGTTTCATTCTGAATTTAGACTATACTTCGGAAATAGATTTATCCTACTGATTAGTGGTAGAAGTAATGGTTAGTAGTCCTAGTGTGTGTAACTTTGAGATCTATCATTCAATGCATTTGGAGATATTGGCGGTTGCCCTGCAATCAGTGTCCGTTCCTGCGACGTTGAATAGCCATTTCACAGTCATTTTTAATCAGCACAAAATCCCGAGGCTCATCTTAGGTACGTACGTTTCGGATCTTCATTCAATTTGTTTGACAACCTGTGTTTTATGCAACAACTGTGACTGTCACCGCAGATTACTATTGTGAATGCTTCTTTACGGTTACTGTAGGGAAATCTATGCGACAATTCATTATTAAGGTTCCCTTGAAAACTCATAGGCCCATGTGAATAGCAACAGCTAAAATATGGCATAAAAATGGATAATACAATGGTTACTAATGGGCTTTACAGGCTTAAAAGGTTGATGAATAACTAGAAGGAATATCAAATGGTGCATTAACGAGAAGTCGGAATCCTGTGATGAACACGTTTATATGGTTTTAACCATATTGTCTTAGTACTGGTTAATACCAATTAATTATTAATACATGCCATGACAGGGGCGGATCCAGAATTTAACTGAGTGGGGTTTAAATTGTTTCGAAAAACCCCAAAATGAATGGGGAGTTAGGTGGTCCTCCCCCGGGAAAATTTTGATTCCAGATGGCCGGAAATGAGCTTTCCCGACTTCTGAGGAGTCTTTTAATGACCTTTAAGTTCTTCAAAATCCAAGGTTTTCCCCCTCTTGAAAATAAGTCAGGTAATTTTATCTCATTTTTAGGCCTATCATAGAGGGGGGAAAAAGTCAAAGATAGGCAATATATTATTATATTCCAACAACATAGAGTAGTTAGATATGTAGTCTTTCTTCCATGGATCGATTAACCGATAGGAAGAACTCACTTTCGTACATAAATTATTACGACAGCGAACCAAAAACAGTGTGTATGATATATTTAATTGAAAACTAGTTAGGCTAAGCCTAGTTTGTCTGATCTTCCAACCTATGCCTAGGTAAGTTAGCATGCTTTTTGTAAGCCAGGGCCCAGTTGTATTTTGTTATGTTTCTTCACAGAGGGGGGTTCGTCCGAACCCCTTGAACCCCCTCCCCCGATCCGCCACTGCATGACAAGATTGACGATATCGCCAACTGTAATTTTATAATGGCTAATGGCCGATACCAATTGATTTTGATGGCAATAGAAAGGCACTAATTTCATTTTGGTTTCCCTAAAGAAATCAGCTTCACGATATTTCACACCTCAGAAGAGCATGCTTTAATGGACAGTGAGGCACTAAGTTGATCATGAAAACGAAGTGCCTTACACATCTCATTAACAATCCACTAGGAAATATATACTGGCAAGAATGGAAAGTACGCATATTATTTTTCTAATCGATGGTTCCAAGTATAATACCAACGCTTAGGGCCATAATCGTTCGTTTATATGACATATCTCCATTAACTTGTTTTTGCTTGGTATTGTTAGAAAAGTTCCACATACAATTACCTCACAGAGTAATATGTTCATTATGGACTAATATTTCGTTATTGTTTGCGCAAATGAGAATGCGGAACTAAATCCCGGAATTCTGAACTCAATCCCTATTTCAATGAAAACTTTTGGTAATTGTTAGTATTTTAACGCACTAGTGGAACTAATTTGCTGTCATGGGCCTACGCCCATATAAGCTATACCACACAGATGGTTTATATAAGGGCCTCGGTTTCTGTTTGCATTTTCTTGACTCAAAATTAATAAAAACACGGACTTTCTTTGCACAAGAGAATAGGCCACATTTAATCAAGAAACCAATATCGATCGATCCTTCAATCAATTAATCAACATACGATTCGTTACTCTTATTTTATTTCCACATTTTATCATTATTTTCTTATTAAATAAAGCTCAAAGAAACTCAAAAAGCAAAAACAAGCAGTTTTAAATAAAAATCTTTTCAATGCACCCCAAAAAGACTTGGGCAAACCCACAGACAAAGTGATTAAAATACTATCAATGAACTTCTCAAAAACCATATTATATCCAATACTTGTTTTATACACCTTTCGAAAATGCAAGTGTCTTTCGTGTGAATGGTGGGTGATTTTCTGCCACAAAACGTCCGTGTTATCATGTTAACAATGCAGCACAAACAGCACCACATGATTTTTTTGACATTCAGTGTACTATAAATAACGTACTGTAACAACAGACACAAATATGCGTCAGGGGAAAATACATGTTGTGCTTAAGAGGTTGACATGCATACTTCATTTTTATAGTATTAGTTATTTACATTTGCTGTACGAGCAGTAGGTTTGGCCAAAACATCTTTATTCAAATAAACAACAACAACAACAATAATAATAATAATAATAATAATAGGCCTAGTAATAATAATAAATAATAATGATAAAATAGTAATACTGATAATAATAAAAATAATAATAATAATAATAATAATAATAATAATAATAATAATAATGATAATAATAATAATAATAATGATGATGATAATAATAATAATAATAATAATAATAATAATAATATTCTACGGGGGTGCGCACTCCCCCTCAAAAAGCTCACGCCTCCCCTTCCTAAAGGCCCCTTCCCCACTGAAAACATTCAAAGCAAAAAAAAAATAACGCAGTTAAAAAGCACATCATATCACCTTATTTGGCAACCTAGCTCTACCTTACTTAATCATCTGAAACCCACCCAATCTTCGCGTCCTTATCAGACTCTTAGATACGCCTGAGTAGTATAATACTAGTTGTGGTGGTGGTGGCGGTGGTGGTAGTAGTAGTGGTGGTGGCAGTAGTGGTTGTAGTAGTATTAGTATAATAATTATCGTAATTAATTTACCGTAAATTGATAACGGAATTGGTTTTATTTTTCAGAATATTTCGTAAGTCCGTCAAAAAATCTCGACATTTTGCTGCCACTCTTCCACAGGAATGAAATATATATTATCACTGCCCGCCTACTCTTTAATATCGACATCATTAGTTAAATACGAGAAAGCCATAAGACGACACTGATGGTTTGCGTCATGCGCACTGTATTGTTCATCACTACTTGATTTCATTCCATCTATCCGCATCGCTCAACATTATGCACACTGACCGATTCTTTGTAACACGTTTATTTGTAACGGTAACAGCTTGGTTAAAATGTGTGGACGCTTTGATATAGTGCCAAACAAGTTAAAATAGACGAGAATACAAAAGGATTATTCATGGTGTTTTAAACATTTTTGCTACCGTCTTGATTCAGATCGGCCTATGATCAAGTATTTTTGCCTCATTAATTGCAATAATGGTTGATATTATAACTTCGATGCCGGCTTTGTTCTACAAGGAATCATCTCTTATGAAATTTGTACTTCGTAAGTGTTCTATTTTGAAATCACCTTACAAACCAACGTTATGGTCTATCAACGGTCATATCCAGACAATATTAACTGTTTTATGGCCAATACAAAGAGATTTGAAATGTAAACGGCAGTACCTTCAAGTAGACGATGGTGGTTTAGTTGCGTTAGACTGGGTTTTGCCATCTTGCTGCAAAACATCAGAAAAAATTAATATGAAAAGTCCACTTGTTATTGTTATACCTGGGCTTCCATCAAACACATTTGTGGTCAATGATATCTGTGATATGGCTAGAAATTGTGGATACAGAGTCGTTATATTTCGCAAAAGAGGCCAAGATGGTCTCCCACTTACAACACCAAAATTACAGAGCATTGGAGATTGTACTGACTTACGAGAAACAGTCAGGTTTATACGTGAGCAATATCCAAAAGCCAAGTTGAATGCCGTTGCATACGGATATGGTACAGGATTGCTCATGTCGTACCTTGGTGAATTTGGTTCATCCGCCGACCTGTCGGCTGCAGTTAATATATCACCTAGTTACAATATGCAACAACAATTTGATGATGTTTTTAGAAACCCTTACAATTGGTTTATGTTGCAATATGCAAAATTGCAGTTAAGTTACCATGCGGGCGCTTTGCTCAAAACGTTGGATTGTGATAGTGCCTTCAGTTCATCATCTCTTTCTGAATTTGAACAGAATGTGTACGCAAAGATGTATGGCATACAAGATATGGAAGAATATTGGGACAAAAATAATCCTTTGAGGGAGGTTGATGAAATTGCTGTTCCATTATTATGTATCAACAGCCTTGATGATCCAATTTGCCATGCATCTAAGATACCTTATGACCTTTTTACGATGATTCCCAATGCAATTCTTGTCACAACTACGCACGGAGGCCATTGTGGATTTTTCCAGCATTTGAAACCCGATAGTTGGGCCAATCGACTGGCTATACAGTATTTAGATAGTGTTTTACAATTTGTACATTTAGAGGACGGATTTAAAAGGAATAGCAGATTATAGACTTTAATATCAATTAAAAGAGGAAGATTATATTACAATCCAGAGCTCCATCGACTCAGAGAAAGAATTGTATGAACAGAAGCATTGAAGTTTAAATTTCAAAAACGAGGAAAACAGGCTAATTTATTATATAATTATGTTGATTTTATTCGTTTTACATTAAGTCAAGATTTGTCATTTTCTTATAGCTTATGAGGATAAATCAAACAAAAGTCTGTTAATAATGATAATAAAGAAATTTCAATAAACAGTTTTAAGCGAAGATTAGTATGCCTGGGTTCCGGCTAGGTGTACAACGGTAGACGTTCCTGTGCGATTGAATGGCAGAGTCCAAGTGGAGGCCTGAAAGCGATGTCCCTGAAAGCTAAGGCTTCCAAGTATTTAGGTTTGTAATCTATGTATAGGCCCAATACGTCTAAAATAGATGTCACTTTGTGGTTACTCTTCAATTGCTTATCCTCTGATTTATCTTACCTTTTTTGAGGCGAAAAAAATAAATTAAATATTCTGAGCCTATGCGGGAATAAAAATGGGCAATATAAATAATTATTCGCCAAAATGATACACCTATTTTTTTTTTTCAAAATTTTAACCCAAATGTCTCTGACCTCTACAAGAGTTTAGGGCCATGTTTTGTGAAAAAATATTTTTGAATAGGGAATCCCAGCTAGTATTTTTCTACATAGGCCTACCTGACTTTCTCCTGAAACATACGCTCTTGAGATCGAGTGGTTGTAGCGTAGAGCAGTTTTCGTTTAGCAATTTGACATAGATTATTCAGAAACATCTAACATGTTGTGAATTCAATTACAAAAACATTCATTTTCTTTTTTAATTAATCGTAAGTGTAAAAATGAATGTAGATTAAAGTAGATATAGGAAGAAGGCTAGGCCCGAAACGATATAGAAAATCTTGCGAAAACCTACCTGGACGAAACATTACTAAGATGCACAGTGCACATTGTGAATAATGAAAGGGCTTTTATAATCTCCCCTTTTCTTGGTTTACCATGACTGAGAGTTTATTACTAACAAAATATTTGGGCATAGATAACATATCGAGATTTAATGTGTCAAAAAATTGATTAAATAAGTGGAGAATAAAATACTGAAAAAAAGAAGCTGAACTCGTGTAAAGGGAAGCAATACCAAAATAGAATACTTTTAGGTAAATGGTCAATTCTCTGCTATAAACGTCAATATGTAAATTTTTGTTGTATTCAAATTACTGAAAACTATTAATTACCGATAGACCTCATTCTCAGTAAGCTACTTGAATAACATCTGAATTAGGAACTAATATCCATTGCAGAACAGTAAGTCATTCGAAAGTAGGGCCTACTTTCACATTTAAACTTCTGTCCTAGTGGAGTTATATAATTTGTAGATAGTCATTTGTTCGTAGATGACAATTACCTTGATTAAGGTAGGCTAAATTTACATCACTTTTACGTTTGTATTAGTGTTTAGGCTTGTACTCAGGTTGGATTGTATTTAGTTATTAAATATTATAAATTACACTCACTGCGCTTGATGATGGCACTTGAGGGTTTTTTTTCTAAGGTTGATGAATATGATATAGATGCTTGGACTTTTTTTTCTCTTTCTTGGGAATTTCACCCACCATTATTTCTATCTCTTTTTGTTACATTTTGATTTTTTCTGTCATCAATGACATAAAATATAAAAATTAAAACTCAATTGCACTTAAAAAGGTTCAGTCCACAATGGCTGACTGTAATTTTTTGAACGCATCTTTTAAACTTGTATTAATTTCTAAAAAATACATTAATATATTCTTTTTCTTTTAGGTCCCAAAATGTAACTTATCGAATAGGCCTATGTTAATATACATCACATTCCAAAATTGTACTTACACATGCACATGTATATACTGTATACCGGTATATACACGCACATATATACACACCAATACCATATATGCCTACATATGCATATACATTTTTTTTATTTCAACAATTCCTAATTGTTTTTCTCTTATGTACAAAACAGAAGAGTACTGTATACGTATCCTACTGATGTAATATCATTGATAATATTAATGATGTTAATCCCATTTTCCATCTCTGATCAATAATTAATATAATAATCTTTATAATAATAAAAACAAAAGTCAAGAACTTTCTTTAAGTTATTTTCAAACGTAATATACATATATATATATATATATATATATATATATATTATACATATATATATATATGCATATACACATACATACACACACACCCATACACACATATTATATTCACACATACATATATGCATACACATATACGTATGTATTAATTATCTATATACATCACGTACATTTTTTTTCCTAATTTCATGAAAATTACACCAACTGCAAACCAAAGAGGTACCGCATTATGTTGACAATATCACTGGTAATGGCAATGATATTGAAATTTTACCATCAGATGCTTGGACTTTGTTTACTCTTCCATTGTCATTTTAATAAATCTCTTCATATCCAATGTATGTTTGGCTGAAATTCAATATATTAAAAATACATTGATATTATATTAGTTGTTCCAACATGCTCTTGCATGTTAGATCCTGTATCATAACTCAGTTGGTCATTTGATTTGTGGATTTCGGAACAAGTAACAATGGTTCCATCCGTGAATTTTTGTTCCATTTATTTTGTCCATTACAAGCTTCGACATCCCACATTGGCTATACGGAAGTGTAAGAAATTTAATTTGAAAGTGTCTTGGCCTATTCCGTTGCCAGCAAATGTTTAGTCTGTAATATTAAACTATGGTTATAATTCAACAAACAACATACAACACATACATATCAAACTTAAATAGGCTTTGCTTAGACTTTCGAAAGCAATGCTTCGAATTTAGAGATAAAATCTGTGCTAAATTTACATTTAAAATATTCAAATGAGTACACTTTCTTAAAGTTTAATCAAAAACATATTTATATGGACCTGAAGAAGTGTGTTTAGAAGTTGGGTATATAAGACTTTCGAACTCAATGCTTGGAATTTATATATACAGATACAGATCTTTTATTGTCATAAAAATACAAGGTACAATTATGAAATTTTCCTTCCTTATTGCAATATAAAATCTATGCTAAATTTACATTTAAAATATTTGTTCTTTCCGTAGTGGTTACTTAATTAACGGTACATTTTACAGTGTACCATACCATATTTTAAGGGCAATATAAATTTACTAAATCAGATCAGACACATTTTGTAAATCTTTTATGAAAGTGAATGCAATAATGTTGGTAAATAATATAAAGAAAACCCCTTAAAAACATTCTTATATTTTATATCTTATAGTCGCTTTTCTAATTTGCTTATTTACATACATGTGTATAAAGCCATATAAGCTTTGGCAAAATTTGTCATCATTCGCACTGATGATGAGAATCGTTTTCTCGAAACATGTTTGCTATACGATCGGGCTCAATGAGTCGGCAATCACGATTAAAGTATATTACTTGCTTTATAAAGTGCCTTGTGGTGTTTTTACTTATACGAAATTTTGGTGGCATTATATATGACCTATCTTATATTTTTGTTTTACGTTATTTAGATACGGTATATAATGGAATTTAAACCCCAAAAGTCCTGGTGAAAATTCACTTTAATTTGTTACCTTTCATTAGACCTGTAATTAATGAATTCTACTGGCAAAACTGCATATAATGCATAGCATCAGATTTTGTATGCTTCATTGGCTTTTGTTTTAATATGTTAGAATCATCGAGAAAATCTGTTCTTCTCTGTTAGAATTGAGTTAGTTCATGGTTAGTATAGCATATATTTTGTGGTGCGCCCTCTCTGGTTTCTGCCATCTACGTAAAAACCAGGTTTTTTTTTTAGAAAACGTGAAAACATAATTACCTTAAACTCTGAAAAAAAAAACCACTTCCAAAATAATATTTCATTGAATTACATGAAACTATATCAGCTGTTGAAAAATATAATAGAATAGAAAAAACTGTGATTAGCATTCGTTTCCTATCTAAAGCCAGGTTCCCATAAAATCGCTACACGCATATAGCCGACTCCTTTGGCGAGCTTATTGGTCAGTTGAAGATTATCGGAGTTCACGATTGCGTCGGGGTGCAGTGCAAGAATTTCAGTGATAACGCTGTAGCGACTGAGTAGGCAATTTATGTCGTCCCACTGCCAACGGCGGTGGATCGGGGGAGAGGGATAGGGGCCCTGTCTCTTATACACATCTAGATGTGTATAAGAGACAGATGTTGACAATATCACTGGTAATGGCA